CAGTATGTGGTCAATTTTGGAGAAGTGCTGAGAAGAAGATATATTCTTTTGTGTTTGGGCGAAATGTTCTGTAAATACTTGTTAGGTCCATTTGGTTTATTAAGTCTATTAGTGCCAGCATTTATGTTTAGTTTTTGTCTGGATGTCCTGTCTGTTGGTGGAGTGGATTATTGAAGTCACCCACGTCACTGTTTGAGAATCAATGTGTAATTTTTATGAAGTAGTGTTGCTTTTATGAAGTTGGGCGTCCTTGTATTTGGTGCACAGATGTTAAGAATTGCAATGTCCTCTTAGATTTTTCCTTTGATGAGTATGTAGTGTCCTTCTTTACCTTTTCTGATTATTTTTGCTTTGAAGTCTGTTTTGTCAGATGTTAAAATAGCTACACTGGCTTGCTTCTTAATGTCCATTTACTTAGAAGACCCTTTTCTACCCCTCTACCCTGAGGTAATGTCTATCCTTGATGTTAAGGTGTGTTTCTTGGATGCAGCAGAAGGATGAGTACAGTTTTTAAAACATTCTGTTAATCTGTGTCTTTTTATCAAGTAATTAAGACCATTAATGTTGAGAGTTATCGTTGAGCAGTACTTGTTAATCCTCATTATTTTGTTGTGGCAATGTGGGTTTTTCCCCCTTATTCTGTTGATTGCCGGTCTGATAATATTTACTCCTTATATATTTTGCATGTGGTTAGCCTCTTCAGGGTGAAGTTTTCCTTCAATGCCTTCTATATGACTGGATCTATAAATAGATACTGCTTGAATTTTTTTTTTATCATGGAATGTCTTTTGTTCTCCATCTACTGTGATTGAAAGTTTTGCTGGGTATAACAGTGTGGACTGACATCTGTCGTCCCTTAGAGTCTATAAAACATCTATCCATGACCTTCAAGATTTTAGAGCCTCCATTGAATAGTTATTCTAATAGGTCTGCCTTTATATGTTATTTGATCTTTTTACCTTGCAACTCTTAGTATTCTTTCTTGTTTTGTACATTTAGTGTTTTGATTATAATGTGTCAAGGGTTTCTTTTATGGTCCAGTCTACCTGGTGTTCTGTATGTTTCTTGTACCTTAATAGGCATCTCCTTCTTGAGGTTTGAAAGATTTTTCTTCTATGATCTTGTTGAAAATGTTTTCTGTGCCTTTGACCTAAGTTTCTTATTATTATTATTCTTAGATTTGTGGTCTTTTCATAGTATCCCAGATTTCTTGGAAGTCTTTTGCTTAATTTTTTTTTTAGATTTAACATTTTCTTTAACTAGGGTACCCATTTCTTCTATCATGTCTTCAATGACTGATATCTCTTGTATTCTTTTGGTAAGGCTTGCTTATGAGGTTCCTGTTAGAGTTCCTAAATTTTTCATTTCCAGATTTCCTTCAGTTTGGGTTTTTTGTTGATTCTGTTTCTACTTTCATGTCTTAAACTGCTTTCTTCATTTTCTTCCTCTGTTTGTGTTTTCATAGATTTCTTTAATAGATTTATTCATTTCCTCTGTAAGAACCTCTAACATGTCATAAAGGCTATTTTGAAGTCCTTGTGTTATAGGAGGGCTACAGGGCTTTAGTGGAGTCATGTTGTCCTGGTTGTTACTGATTGTGTTTTTAAACTAATGTCTAGGCATATGGGTTTGGGATGATTGTGATTCTAGGTACTAAAATCTGGGCTTGTCTTTGTTGAGTGGGTGTTTTATTTCTTGGTTTCTGTTGCCCTCTCTGGCAGCGGAGAATGTGATAGCATGGGTCACCTGGTAGGGAATGTGTCTTAGATCCTGCCATCTGTGGCCTCTAGGCATTCTGGAAAGAAATGATTTTCTTGGTATTGGAGGTAACACCTAAAGATGGTGATGAGCCAGAAGGGGTCTACAAGAGGGAGGAAAGGATGGTGTGCCATCAGGAGCTGCTTAGTCCCCTGGTAGTGGGAGCAGAGAAGGAGGGGAGCAACAACAGCAGGTGGTCTGCTACAGAGCTGAGGATGAGACTGGGGGATTGGCTTTTGAGGAGAAGCAGGAGAGAGGAGACCTAGAGATCACCTGCTTGCTTCCTTCCTTTTCAATTTGTTTAAGTTTGGGACAAGCTGAGATTTTATTTCCCCAGGAGCACAAATACCTCTTCCTGTTTATCCAGCCATCCTCTCCTTCTCCATGTGCTAAGTGGAATGCATTACCTAAGTACCATATTTAATTTTAAAAATAATCTCACTTTACAAAGGAGGAAACAAGGTTGTTGTTGTTGTTTAAGAATTAAATCATTTTATACATAATGAAGAAGAAACCAGAAGCCTGAAATGGCTCATTCTACCCAATGCTTCTTAGGGGGTTTGCTCTACTGTTAGAAGTTGAGGAAACCTATTCTGCCCATTCTCCCTGTCCTACTCCAAACTGTTCTTTCCATAGGTTGTAAGTTGCTGGATTTTTTTTAAACTTTTATTGGTTTTTCGTAGATTTCACATCATGCATTCCAATCCCACTTCTCTCCCCTCTGCCTTTGCAACCACCTACCAAATCAAAACCAAATTTAAAAAAGAAACAAAGAAACAGAATAAAACAAAGCAAAGCAAAACCAGAGAAAAAGGAGAAGAATCTTATTGTGGAAGCTGTAGTGTGGCCCATTAAGACACACAGTTTACCCTTGAGTTCATTCACCTTTACTTGAAAGTGTTCTGTGCCAGGAATCATTAGTCTGGCTGGAGGCCTCTGGTTTCTGCTATTGCTTTCACTAATAATAGGCTGTCACCGGGGCTCCTCTTAGATACCCTGTTGTTGTCCTGTGTCATGGAGATCCTGCTGTTTAGGATCTGTAGGTTTGTCCCCTTCATGTGATCCAACAGTTCATAGATGAGGTGGATGTTGGGATGGGCCAACTCATAGCCCTGGTTCTGAGCCCGGATAGCAGCTGGGTTGGTCAGCCTGCCAGTTTTCCAGCCCTGAGAGCTCTCCAGCACTGCCTCCACCAGCTCACCCAATGCAGCCTGCAGCAACAAGCTTATAAGATTATCAGTTTCTAACAACCTCCAAGTGCAATATTTGTAAACTAGGAACACCTTACCTATGAATTTATAATGACATTACATGAAAATAAGAAGTAGATCCATTTCTAAATAAAATACTATATATCTTTCTCCAAACTTTACCAAATCAAGTGATTTTTTTCCCTCTAAACCCACATAGGGAAATATCTTCTGAAGTCAATTACTGACAACTGTTAGTAGTTAAGGTGTACTGTACTGAGAAAAAAATGGAAGGCTGAACCAGGCTCTTACACAGTCTTCCCTAAGTGTTTTTCAAAATTTCCTCATCAAATTAAAGGCAGTAGAATGTGGTTATGTGTGTACCTCCTCTGAACGTTATTTTCCCATAGACATGACTACTTGTGTGTGTGTGTGTGTGTGTGTGTGAGAGAGAGAGAGAGAGAGAGAGAGAGAGAGAGAGAGAGAGAGAGGTCAACATTGCATGTCTTCCTCAGTTGCTCTCCACCTTATATTTTGAGGCAGGGTCTCTCCCTGAACCTGAAGCACAGCAGTTTGGCTAGCCTGACTGGCCAGCAAGCCCCAGGGACTCTTTCCTGTCTGTCTTCCCAGTGTTAGGATTATGTGGTGTTGTGTTCCCCAAAATATTGTGCATGCTAATAAACTTATCTGGGGTCAGAGACAGAGCAGCCACAATATTAAACATAAAGGATAGGCAGTGGTAGCACACGCCTTTAATCCTAGCATTCCAGAGGCAGAAATCCATGCATTCAAGGATACAGCCAAGCATGGTGACTCATGCCTTTAATCCCAGAAAGCCAGCCTTTAATCCCAGGGAGTGATGGCAAAAACAGAAAGATATATAAGGCGTGGAGACCAGAAACTAGAAGCATTTGGCTAGTTAAGCTTTTGGCTGGTTAAGCTTTTAGGTTTTGAGCAGCACAGTTCAGCTGAGACCCATTCTGGATGAGGACTTAGAGGCCTCCAGTCTGAGGAAACAAGACCAGCTGAGGATCCAGTGAGGTGAGGTAGCTGTGGCTTGTTCTGTCTCTCTGATCTTCCAGTGTTCACCCCAATAACTGGCCTCGGGTTTGATTTTATTAATAAGAACTTTGAAGATTCATGCTATAGGATTACATGGTGTTGTGCCTCTCTCTTTCCGCCTCCCCCCCTCCCTCCCTCTCCCCTCCCCTCATCCTCTCTTTCCTTTGTTTTATTGAATGCTGAAGATCCTAGGCCAAGTCTTCAAGCTTGTGCTGGGAGCCCTTGCTCAGCGAGACATTACCCCAGCCCCATGATAACTAGGATTTTTTTTTAACCATAAAAAAGCAGCCTTTATTGTCTCATTTAGTGTGTGTTGTAGTTAAATAAGGAGAGACAACAGAAGATCAAGGGCTGGAAATGTTTACTGTGTATCAGATAAGAGTGATGTCAATAGCACACTTGAATTCAACGGCGGCCAGTAAGAAGAGTAGCTGCCACAGAGAGAGGACGCTTTGGCTACAGCGGGGTGGCCAAAGGAAGTTCATGAACTAGTATATTGACCGTATTTTCCAGGTTGAAATTCTAACATATGATCCCATAATAAATTTTTAAGGGAATGGCTAAATTTATTGGTAGAAAGGTATTTTGCAGAGATCTTAAAATTAAGGAGCATTTAAGGCATTTTAATATGAATCACCTTTGCTAAAGAGATATATAATTATAGTACATTATATTTGGGAAGGATCCCAGAAAATGGACGACCGCTGATTTAAAGAGCAGGCAAAGAAGTCTACAGTTGCTGCTCTCTGATTTCCCCACAGCAAAGTCCTTACAGCTCTGCCAGACCCCTAGAACGCGCTGGAATTTGTGCACCTCCTGGAGCTTCTGGCTGAAATTCAGAGGCAGAGATGGACTGTTCAAGCCAAAAAGAAACATACATTTTACTCCAGAATGAGCTAGTTTTAGGAGCAACATGCTTCTAGAAGCAAGAAAAAATCACTCCTTGAGTTAATTTCAGGGCCATTCACATGGAAATTCTAGGTTCTCACCCCTTCTAACCATTTTCTTTCTCTCCAGTGGAGAGCTTAGTTTGGGTTTAGTGTTCTCTGATGAGTTAGGCAACCTGTTATTTTCATGAGTGGTCTGGGAATTCTTCAGTGGAGTACGAATTCTTCCAAATTCCGAGCCTATTGTCCTTGTCTATGACCTTTAGCCCCAGTTGAAGACTTTTCCTAGTCTCCTGTTGTTTGGCTTCAGGACACTCTGCCAAACCCAGTACTACAAAGCCTTCTGAGCTTTGGCATCACGGTTCAGCCTCATCCCTGGACGAGCGTTTGCTCTTTTTTTCCATAACTAATAGTAATGAGGGTTAGCACAGTTACCAAGTCAGATCCCAAGGTAAACCGTTGCTTGCTTCGATGCCCATCAGTAATTTGATATTTGTGCGTAAAGGTTGGATCCACCTTCCTGGCTCTTTCGTTTGTCCCCTCTCTCTTCTCTTAGACGACATCGAAATCACAATGCTGGATTTGTGACGTCACTCTCAATTCTTTCCAGATGGTTTCTCAGACTGATCAAAAAGAAGATGAGGCCAGTGTATGTGAGTGGAAAAGTAGATCTTCAAACAGAAAGAGGGTTCGGGAATAAAAAGTATAATAATAATGTAAAGATCACAAAACAACCATAGGTAAAGTAAATTGCCTTTTCCCTCTGTCTGAAAACAGGCTTTGATCAATTGTGCCAATGTATAAAAATTTGAGCTCTAAAGAAGCCAGACAGGCTTCTAAAGCCCAAACATCAAAAGCTTTGCTTCCATTAGAGAAATTTAAAGCCATGATACTTTGAATGGATTTGAAATTCACTAAAATGAGTTCTAATAATAACCTTCACGGGCAGAAAGGAAAAGAGCAGGAGGCAATGTGGCTTCGTGCAACCATTTTCTCTGGTACATTAGTTTTCCAAAGATGGCATTTTGGCTTGTACCAAATAAGAGGGCAAAGGTTACCAAATGCAAGCCTGAGGAAGCCAGAAACCAGAACAGCCCTCACAATGGAAGGGGAAATCCAAGCTGTCAGCTCTGAATAGAGAGAAATTGTATGTGTGAAATTGACAACCAGCAGCAGCCTGGTACTGTCAGAGAGGCCAGGAAATTAACTCAACCAGGGTTCCTACTTACTGTATTAGAGCTGCTGTTCTGTTGAGATTTATTCAAGATTCACACCTAGAAATCTCCAGGCCCTTGATTGCTTTGGCGATGCAAGTTTTTATTTGGAAAGCATTCTAAACAAATAAAGTACCACTGAGAGTCATGTTTTAACGATACAGAAAAAATATAAAGAAATATAAACTACCTCTTAAGAACCGTTTAGCAAGAGACACCTCTCTCTTCTCTCACATATTGTTTTATAAGCTGGAAGCCAATTTGTGTATATCCTTTTGGTTTTTGCATTTTTGCTTAATAATATGTAAATTTTTGGTCAGGGGAAAGAAAATCCCAGTCAAGAGCCAGGGTGCAAGTAGATGAAGTCAGCCAGAGCCTGGTGGCTGGCTCCAGGTAGCCCCTCCTTAGAGTAACAGCAGAGAAAGAGGATAGAAAAGATGGAGAGCATTGCACCTGGGAGACACTGTAGAATAGCTCCATCGTGCCTTCATTGATGATCGCATCAGAAAGAAACTAAATTAAGAGATACTCCAGTCATAGACTTGTCGAGAAAAGAATCACAAAGCAGTTCTATTCTCAACAGGCTCAAAAAGAATAAATATATAGAAGTAAACCTAACCCAAGAAAATAAAAAAAAAAACCAACATCTACAATGAAATTGTAAAACACTGAAGAAATTACAGAAGATATTAGGAGATGTACCTCCCATACATGTGGAGAATTAATATTGCTAGAAGACCATATTAGCAAAAATAATCTCCAGATTCATTGCAATTCCCGTAGAAGTTCTAATAACATTCTTCACAGGAATGAGGGAAAAAATCCTAAATTCATATGAATCCCCAAATATCCTCTAGTAGACAAAGTAATCCCAAGTCAAAAGAACAATGCCTGAAACCCACAGTTGCTACTCTACTACTAAACCACAGTAACAAAATAGTATGATGCTGGCACAAAAAATCACATAGAAAAATGGAGCCAGTATGGGACCTATCAATAAAAGCACATGGCTACAGCCATCTTGTTCTAGACAAAGAAGGTCAGAAACGTACACTGGATAAAAATCTCCTACAGATGGGTCTAGGAGAACAGGATATCCTCTCCTAGAAATCAACTAGATCCCTAACTCTCACTCTGAAAAAAAAAATAATCAATTTAGAGTGGATCAAAGGCCTTAATAAAGAATATAAAACTTTGAAGCCAGGAAAAGTCCAAGATACAGGTGCAGGCAAGGACTTTCTGGATAGGCCCCTGGTTGCTTCGGAAGTAATAGTAAGAATTCAGAGATGTGATTGCATCAAATCAAAGGCTTTTACACAACAAAAGAATGAATAACCAGCCTGCAGAATGGCAGGGGGAAAATGCCAGCTATTCTTGTGACAATATACAGAATTTATGAAGAAATCAAAACCTTAAAAAACAAAAATAATAATATATACTTTAAACAATTAGTTGGCAAATAAATTGAACAAGCATGTTTCAAATAAAGTTCAAATGGTCAAGAAATACATTTTTAAAAAATGTTCAACATCTTCAGCCATCAGGGCAACAGCAACAGCAACTCCAATGAAATCCCTCCACACAGAATAGATTATTACCAAGAAAGCATTCAATGGCATACAAATGCCGCTAAAGGCACAGGGAACAAGGAACAGAAATTGGTCCACTCACCATGAAAATCAAGGTGGAAGCTCCTGAAACAAATTAAAACTAGGGCCGATGGGATGGCACAATTATTGGAGGCACTTGCTGCTAAATCTGACAACTTAAGTTCAATCCCGGGGACACAAATGGCAGGAGACAACCAAGTCCCACAAGTTGTCATCCGACCTCACACATGTGTGAACGATTATGTTTGTTTGTTACATGATTGTTTAAAGGTTTAATTACAACTGCAGCTACCGTCGGGCTGACTGTACCAACTTCAGGTACATACACAAGGAAGCCAAAGTCGGCCAACACCAGGGGCCCCTGGTTACCCAAGGCCATTGCAGCATTATCCACAGTCTTAGGATCAGGCTCCATGCCTATCAAGCCTGACTGCATTAAGGAAAACACAGCTTACATACTCAATGGAGTATTCCTCAGCTGTAAGGAAGAAACATACTATTTGCAGGAAATGGATGGAACTGATGGTGTTCAGTAAAATAAAGACAAACACCACAGATATGTTTTCTATCAACTACTGAATTCTTTCAAGGCAGTTCTCATGTGTCCAAGGCTGACCAAGGATGACCTGAATTTCTCATTTGTTTCCCTCCATCTGCCAAGTGCTGGGATTATAAGCATGTGCCACCATGCCTAGTGGATGAGGCACTGGGGATCCAGTCCAGGGCTTCATGCATGCTGAGCAAGCATTCTACCAAGGAAGCCACATGCCCAGCCTTTTTTTACACCTATATAGTCCTGGCTGGCCTGGAATTTGTAACAATCTTCCTGCCTCTGCATTCCAAGTCTTGAGATTAAAGTTGTGTGTCACCATACCTAGTTTAAACTCTTACTGCCTATAATTTGATTATCTCTAGTGTTTTGTTATAGCAACAGATGCGAACTAACACATTATTACAACAAAATGAGAAAGAAAGATGGGCTATAGAGATGGCTTAACTGTTAAGAGCTCTACAGGACCCCAGTTCATTTCCCAGCACCAGAGGAATCTAAGGCCTCTAAAGGCATTTACACCCCTGTTCTCCCTTCCTCCCTCCCTCCCTCCCTCCCTCCCTCTCTCTCTCTCTCTCTCTCTCTCTCTCTCTCTCTCTCACACACACACACACACACACACACACACATACACACACACACACACAATTAAAAACAAACTAAATGTTAAAATAGAAAGAACAACAGAAGGAAAGTCATAAATAGAACTAAGGAGACTGATAAAAGATTCTAGGAAAATTGAAGCTCACGTGATGCTCAGTGATCAGCATACTTGTCATTCTTGACATTGTGGCTTCTAAAACTTTTCTACGTTTCTCACGCCCAAAAGAAGTGTGCCTCCCAGAATTACCCCTGAGCAAAGTCCCACTGCCGATCCTTCTTCCCAGACCACGGACTTACTGTGTGATCATCCAACACACAGCTTTTATCTGCTCCTGGACTCACAAATGGACTTTTCTAATATCCCTTTGCCTTCTTAGTTTAAGAAAAGTTAAATGTTTTATATTCTATTGAACTAGGTCACATAAAGGCATTTTCACACAACTGTGTAGAGCAATTTGAGCATATCCCCCCCATTTCCCATCCTTGGCCAGTCCCAAATGAGTCTCCGTGCCCATTCACACCCTTCCATCCCCAGTATCAAGCCCTGGATTCAGGTTTTCAGCACCTGAAACACTCAGTGCATGGGGCAGCAGTCTCTCTAGACCCACCATGCACAGCGTGCTCACCTAACCTGTCCTGAAGCCGCAGCACATCTATGCTGACAGGGTTTGGGATGTCATCACCTGTGTTGTCTTAAGTAGAGAGGATGTGAGAACCAACAGAAACCTCTGCCTACTGACTGCAGCTCCTTTGACTGCCAAGACATGGTAATCAGGGCTGCTGAGATGGCTCACCAGTTAAGAGCACTGGCTGCTCTTTCAGAGGATCTGGGTTCAACTCCCAGCACCCACATAGCAATTTATAAATGTAATTCTAGTTCCAGAGACTCTGTAGCCCTCTGGCATCCATGGGCAGGCACAAGGCATGCATATGGTGCACCTACATACATGCAGGCAGACACTCACATACATAAATACATTTTTAAATTAAAAAGTTAATGATATGATAAAGTAGGGGTAAATTTGGATGTAATCATGGCAGAAAGACCAAACATAAATATAAGTCACTGAATCTCACATCACTACAGGTAACTCAAATATAACTCACAGCTGAAGTACCACACATCCATACTTATATCTCTGTGTATCTTACTCTGTAGCCTAGGTCCTGAGCTTGCAAACCTCCTGCCTCCTGGGTACTGAGAGTACATACCATCACATGCAGCTGGAGTTGGAGTTTTAAGAGCCCAACTATGTCTTCCTCTTTACCTTCCTCCGTGTGACATCCAACAAAGGAAAACATTCCCCTCAAGCTGGAGTCTCCCGGGGCTCATTCCCCGTGAAGTTGGAAGATGAACTTTGATAATAAGTGGCTACCCAGTGGGGGAGGGGGCCTTTGAGAGCTGGGGAGAATAACCAGAGTGTGAAGTGGATGGGAAACATTCGATGTCAGGAAAACGAAACTCAGATGTACAGAGTAATTAACTGAGGATCACTTAACGACTAAGAACAGAAATAAAGCTAAGATGAGCCGTTTCCCAGAAGAATGCTCTCCTCCCTCCCACGGGTCTCACACCCACCTCTCCTAAGTAGTGCAATGCTCTCTGGAGAGTAACATTTGAAACTTTTGGAAGGAACAGAATCACCACCCTTAGCACTCTGAGTCCTGCCGAAGATGAGATAACTGTCCTCTGGCCTCATGATCCCCACAACTCCCCCACATGTGGATGCCGTGGATATCCGTTGTCTTACAAACTACTGAAC